TGGAAAGTCCCCATTTGGATAGATACACCAACATGTGTGTGTGTGTCTGTGTGTGTGTGTTCGTGTGTGTGTGCATCTCCAAAAATCAGAGAAAAAAAGGAAATGACACATGTATCAGACAGTCAGGGTACGGACAGTGAAGCAGGGTCATGCAGAATGTGTGACAGTGAAGCACGGCCATGCAAAGTGTGTGACAGTGAAGCATAGCTGTGCAGAGCATTTGACAGTGAAGCACGGCTGTGTGACAGTGAATTATTGCCGTGCTGAGCGTGTGACAGTGAAGCATGGCTTTGCAGAGCATGTGACAGTGAAGCACGGCTGTACAGTGTGTGACAGGATGCGCTGGAGTTCTCACAGAAGACCATCCACACACCATGAAGACTCTGCTTCCAGTGCAGAGACCATCCACGCTCTACCACCTCAGAGCCCTCTGTACCAATGCGGCGTGAGACCGCCACCATAAAATTATACCACTGCCGTCCTTCACCGTAAAGTTTACATGGACGGCGCAGGTGTAAGTTCACTGGGTTGTTAGCTGGTTGATGACCCTGCAGAAACATTAAACTAACTAGAGTGATCGTTGGTTTGGGTCTGTTTCCCCAACACAGATCAGCATGAGGAGGTGGTTTACAACCTCATTTATGATTACATTCTGCTCATTTGAGTCAGTCAATCAGTCATATGTCAGCTAAAGTGAAAGGGAAGCAGTTCATATGTTGCACGTCAAACATTTAAAAAGGTCCATTTACATCTGAGCACAGAGCTTGGGAAAGCCCAGTTATCTATGGTCTGTAGCCTGTATGGCTATAAAGGGGTATTTCAGCTGGTCATGGGATCAAGGTTGCTTTCTGAAAACAAAAATCCTAAATGCAAAGAGCTCAAAGGAGACCATAGATTACCCATCAAATGCTTTCAATGCGCTGGTCGATATGGCTTTGATCAAGTGCCCGCGCAGATCCCCCGGACAGCGTCCAGGCTTCAGAACCAGATACTGTCTCTCTCATGCGTAATCTGCTGGGTGTTTTCACTCGTGGCTGCGGACGCTGAACGCAGCAGCCGAGCGAGGTGCCCGCGTCCAGCTGCGCGAGTCGTGCTGAGGCTGATCGCTGTCATTGTACAGGGTGCTGACTCACATCCAGCACGGCCCGCTGACGCCCCCTATGGCCTTCTGCTGTACAAGGCAAATGTATCGTGGCACCATTGTGCTCTTTATCCATCTCTGTGGATCTGAGAAACCTTTCCAGATCTGTGAATCTCTGTGAATTGCAGTCAAGAGACCTGCTTCTTCTCAGAAGTACAAAGAACAATAAGTAGAATAAAAATAAAACAGTGATAATAATAGAGTTAACGATGCATAAATAAGAAAACATGCAAACATACTGTATAAGTAATTACTTATGTCTGACCATAATGGTCAGACATAAGTAATTCCATAATTATGCTTTGACAACATTGTAAGTGACTGGGAACCCCAGCAAACCCCAGTCTGCCATCCTCTCATGATTCTTTAAAGTCTCCTGAGATATACGCTTACTTATTTCACTATCTATTGTGCACACTATCTATTCAGGATAGAAAAACTATTCGGCACAAAACGACATCAATGACCAGACTACAATTGACACACAGACACGGACTTAAATACGTAACAGTAATTAGCATGACGTGGAACCGTTGGGAGCACGGGGATTCCACACGAGGTAGAGAGGGGGGCGTGGCACACGGGAGAATTGGACGACCGGGGCGTGATACATGTATACGCGTGGAACATACGTGAACCGAATCTGGAAGGAAGGGATCGGGTAGGCTGTACAGATCGGGAAGCGACAAACTGTATTTGCCCAAGAACGGAAATTACAAGGTGCTTCTTTGGTGCAAGTGATGGTATGACATAAACGAGTAAAATTATTTATCAAGTAAAATTATTATTATTTTTTAATTATTATTATTAGTAGTTGTAATAATAATACTATCTTAATAATCCACTTTATCAGCATGGATTGTGCATGTGGATAGATTGTGCAAGCGGCAGGATGGATGGTGAGGAATTACAGCTCTGGCAACTATTTAAATTTGTGAGAGTCTTTGTTTGGGGGGCTGAAAACTCCAGCATTGTCTGGACAAAAGATGAAAATGAAGAATATTGTCTGCGTTTTTAAAGACACACAGTGTTTTGTTTTTTTTTCTTAAGTGTGGTATTTGTGGATTAGAAGATCTTGTTGTACGTTCAGTTTTACATGAGATAGTAAAAAGGATAGAGTCAGTAGTAGACAGGACACCATGATCCTCTCCCACATCAGGGCCTTTACTGTGGCACTTAATTAACAAACATAACCAAAGTGAACCTGCCTGGGATGGGGCACCTTCCTGTGTCTGTCCTTTCCGGAATACCCTGTGGGCTCCCAGGCCCAGCTTTCCCAGCCGTCTCTCTCACATACTCACTCATTTTTACCCTTTTCGTCCAGATTTACTCCGTCAGTCTCCCTGTTTCTCCCTGAGCGAGGTGTGTAGTGCACAGGGAGTGTGTAACGCTCTATCCTGCACTCCTTCAGCAGGGTCTCAGTGCTATTTAACCTGTAAAGATGTGAACACACAGGTCAGGCAGGCAGATCCCAGGGATCCACGCTGGTCAGGGTTTGGAAAGACTTTAGGCTTCTGTCCAAACCTCAAAAAGGACTCAGACTGATGTTTCTGTGAAGTTTAACTTGTACCGAGACCCTTTTCGAAGCCTGTGTTTCTCTCTGGATGAAGGCTATTCCATTGGTAATCCTTTGTCTGAGTGCACATTTAATTTTCTGTTTATTATTTATGGTTTGGTTTTCATCAGACTGCTGCAAATTATCTGCCTATGAAATAGCATGCTGCAATATGCAGCTATTGCTTTGATAATGGGTAGCAACAGCAGTGATATCTATCCATCCATCTTCCAAGTGCTTGTCCTGGTCAATGTCTCCTGAAGCCTGTCCCAGTCAGTGCAGAGACTGGGTATAGCGATGGGATGCCAATCCATTACAGGACATTGGGCTGGGTACACCCCGTATGGGATGCCAAACCATTACAGGGCACAGGGCTGGGTACACCCCGTATGGGATGCCAANGGGCTGGGTACACCCCGTATGGGATGCCAAACCATTACAGGGCACAGGGCTGGGTACACCCCGTATGGGATGCCAATCCATTACAGGGCACAGGGCTGGGTACACCCGGAACGGGATGCCAAACCATTACAGGGCACAGGGCTGGGTACACCCGGAACGGGATGCCAAACCATTACAGGGCACAGGGCTGGGTACACCCTGGAGATACACTTCTGTACATACACATTCACACACTATGGACACTATGGACCACATAGTCTAATAGTCACATAGTGTAACTGCAAGGACTACAGGAGCAAAGCTGGGTACTCAGAGGAAACCCACATGACACGGGGAGAACGTGCAGCCTGCACACGCAGAGCAGAGGCGGGTTTGATCCCCTGCCTCCCACTGGGCCACCAAGCTAACGCAGTTTCACTTACTCTAACAGGTTTAATGCTTTAACTATTTGGTAGATTTTTTCAGTTGAAAATGCGACCATGTTTCTTGAATAATAATAATAATAATTATAATAACAAGCTCTATCAATGTGACTTGCCCACTTTTGTTGTTGTCGTTAAGATCATTCACTCACACTCAGCTGGACCTGGGTCTCCCGGCTGATTTCCTCAGGAAGGTTATCGATCGCTGCCTCAGTCCCTCCTCCTTCCTGACTGGATAAACGCCCGCAGGATGAATTATTTAGCCGCAGCTCTCCGTGTTTGTCTATAGGCACCTCGTTTAGCTTTAAGCTCCCGCCGCCTGGGGGCTGTGGCCTGAGTCGCGGGTGCTGAGTGTTCGGACAGCACCGAGGGTGGCGGTAGTGAAGGCATGCTTTAACCCCTGCCCCCCCCCCCCTTGTTTTTGCAGAGAGCATGGTGACAGAATGCCAACGGCACAGAATGACCAGCACAGACACGAAGCACAACTCTGACACATCTCTGACGACATCCATGGCGACGCTGCCCCCCCCCCCCCCCCCCCACCTTCATCCTTGCGTCCAGAAAAACATCATGGCATCTTCTCCTCAGATGCCTGCTCTCCAGCTGTGGATACAGTTGCAACCTGAGAACTTCATCTTCTTCACTTTCTGAGGGGCTTTTCAGTTGGACACATATGACGGTGTGATTTTGCGTATGGAGATATACGAACACGTCTGTGAGTCTCGTGACTCACGCTCAGGATGATTGCTAATGAATTAACCACTTAATCAGCTTAAACATCTGCATTAACACAAACCTTGTCCTTTTTGAAGATTTTTATTCCAGTATACAAATTGGATCTAATTGTAAATATATAGTGTGATCCATTTACCTCTGCATTTCCCCCCCCCCCCTTTTTTCAAACTACAAGAAGAAGTTCAGTTTTCTTTGCTGCATCTTTACGCCTGTGAAGGCATGTGTACCGGAAGACTAAAATCACACTGTATGTATCGCAGTGAATCGTCGCCCCAGATGTGTGCAGCTGTGATGGGGCCACAGCATTTGAAATAATCCGGGGATCCTCTAGTGTTGACATCTTCATAAGGGCTCCCAGGACTGTGGAAAAGCTCACACAGTTGGCAGGATGACCTGGTGTAGACAGGGAGCACAGCTGCGTGGGGCCTCCAGCGTGACCTTCAGAGATCTTTCATCTGCTGTGTTCCCGGTTCCTGCAGGAACTTTGCATTTCTGCCACTTTAGAGCTGCGATGTTTTCATTTCAAGGAGAACTGTTATTGTATGATGACGCCTCATGAGCAACGTGACCCTTGGGGAAGGACACCAGGGTATGTCTGTAGCTGTCAGATTTTAGAAGTATATCACAGCAACTTCCAGATATCTTTAGTCAGCCAAATTCCTAGAGTCTCGCTCCATCTCGCACGTGCGTGTTGCTTTATATCTACCCGAAACAAAGTGACCACCTGTTTTGGTCACACTCACGCACCCCGCCAACTGTCCCTCTCGCTGTTGTGTCTCTCTGTCTGCTGAATGAGACTCGTGGCTTCTTCCTTCAGAGCTCCCTGCATCCGCACCCTCGAGGGGGCCTCAGCCACAGCCTGTGAGTTTCGGGGTTGGCAGCGCGAGGTCCGTCCGTGCAGATGGGGCGAGTCTCTGTCATGCCGCTCACTTCCACAGGCTGTCTGGTGTCTCAGCAGCAACTCTGCCAGCTTCAGATTAGTGCTTCACCTCGACTGCAGGAGGATAAGCAGCAAGAATGTCCTCATAAAAAGTGCCACTTTATATTTAAATACTCAGCGTGAACAATAGATATTACTGTAACTAAGTAACGTGCTGTCACAGTGATCGCATGCTACCATTAAACAGTAGACTGAGGTTTTTATTTTGTCCAAAAGATGAGATCCACTGTACACAGCAGGGAACCAGGTCCACTGTACACAGAAGGGATCCAGGTCCAGTGTACACAGAAGGGATCCAGGTCCACTGTAGTCAGCAGGAAACCAGGTCCACTATACACACCAAGGATCCAGGTCAACTGTGCACAGAAGAGATTCAGGTCCACTGTACACAGCAGGAATCCAGGTCCACTGTACACAGATAGGATGCTGGTTCACTGTACATAGCAGGGAACCAGGTCCACTGTACACAGCAGGGATCCAGGTCCACTGTACACAGAAGGGATTCAGGTCCACTGTACACAGCAGGGAACCAAGTCCACTGTAGACAGCAGGATTTTAGGTTCACTGTACACAGATGGGATCCAGGTTCACTGTACACAGCAGGGAACCAGATCCACTGTACACAGCAGGGATGCAGGTCCACTCTACTCAGAAGGGATTCAGGTCCACTGTACACAGCAGGGAACCAGGTCCACTGTACACAGCAGGGTTCTAGGTCCACTGTACACAGAAGGGATTCAGGTCCAATGTACACAGCAGGGATCCAGGTCCAGTGTACACTGAAGGGATCCAGGTCCACTGTAGACAGCAGGGAACTAGGTTCCTATGTACACAACAGGGATCCAGGTCAACTGTACACAGAAGGGATTCAGGTCCACTGTACACAGCAGGAATCCCGGTCCCTATGTACACAGAAGGGATCCAGGTCCACTGTACACAGCAGGGATCTAGGTGCCCTGTACAAAGAAGGGATCCAGGTCCACTGTACACAGCATGGATTCAGGTCCACTGTACACAGAAGAGTTTCAGGTCCACAGTATATGGAAGGGATTCAGGTCCACTGTACACAGCAGGGATGCAGATCCACTGTACATAGCAGGGATCTAAGTTCACTGCACACTGAATGAATCCAAGTCCACTGTACACAGCAGGGACCCAAATCCACTGTACACAGAAGAGATTCAGGTCCAGTGTACACAGAAATGATCCAGATTCACTGATTCTGTGATTTGGCCTTTTTAAGAATATTAGAGATACAGATACAGGACCATTCTCAACTGTTTCTTTTGTTTAATGATGATAAGTTTGTAAGCTGTGATAGTAAAACATCACATCTCCAAAGCATGGCATGTACTTCTTCAGTCATACATCTGAAAAGTATTTCTTGGCTGGAAACTGTGAATGTGTTCACTCCTCGGGAAAGAATCCATCACAGAATAGTAGCGCATGAGATGCCCATCAAGTGAGCCAGTGGTTCGGAGCTGCAAACGTTGGGCACCTTGGAACTACATCCCAGTGACAGAAAGCAGCAAAGGATTCTGGGCGATCACAGCTGGATATCCCGGATCTACAGCAACCCTTCGTGAAACATGGACATACTTTCTGCCCTCAATAATTATGCAATCAAACGCATGTATCTTGTATTATGTGATAAAAACAAGAGATACACATGGTATATTTAATCCTCAACTTCACCACCTGACATCTATAGTTTTATTAATATAAAACAAATCATAATTTGCGTTATGTAAGCAGGCTGGAACTGCATTTTTCACACACACATGATCCTCCATGTCCAGCTGTATAGAGATATTAAAAGATGACAACTTTAAAAAGTAATAATGAAAATAAATATTTGGGTCTACGTTCAGGTGGAAACCCGTGTATGTACATACACTTAAATCCGTACTGCGTCCACCAGGGAATCGTGTCACTCTTTGGAACAGACAAGCGGAGAATTAAAATGATGGATGTAGACAGAGAAACACATGCATAGAGGAACATATGGAATCCTGCTCTGGAATATTCTGGATTGCTCCTTGACCTGCAGCTGCGCCTTGCTCTTGGACAGTGAAGTGTCGCCTTGCAGTGCCACACTTTCATTCCAGAAAGAGCGTGTTTATTCATTGCAGGCCAATGATACTGTGTGAGTAGAAAGCTGCATAATACTGTGACGTGTCCCTTACGTTGGGTTTGTTTGATGAAAACGTGTCCTTTGGGTCTAAGAATTATTGCAGTTGCGGCGACTCACACAAACTGACATGGCGCACACAGGGGGTGGAAATCCTCTCACACCATGAATTAAATGGCTATACCCACACCCCTACCTCCTTGTCACCCCCTACCCCTCTCCCATCCCCCCCGAGCTGTGGCCCCCTGGCACAGATAGCCTCTCATTCCCAAAACAGTGTAGTGAAGAACATTTTGCCGTTTCCCCTGAATCCGTCTGGAGTGTGTCTGCGTACCCCCTGGGTGTGTTATGGAGTGCTTTAGTGACTGTTTTACACACTCGCGTCTAAATCAAGTTTAAATTGAGCCGTCAGCAAGCAGATTGAGGTCTTAAACAGCAGACTGCAGGAAGCCAGCTGCTCATTGTTTTCTGATTAATATCCTTAACAACGTGTCGAAATTTCCACGAGGCGTCCTGGTCCAAAGCAGCCGGGGCCAGAACGTCACCAGACTCATCCTGCTACACGCACTACTCACATAATACATTAACAATATGAGACTACAGATGGTTCCAGTTGAAGTGAATCACAGCATATCACCAGGAGGCTGGAGCAGATCCACATTCAGCCTGTCGAGGTGATCTAGTTGATTTGGAGCTCAGATCTGTTCAAACTTCTTAATTCAAGCTTGATTTTGACTTCAGTCTTACAGGTTTTGTGGAGGCCAGCCTCTTTATTAAAAAAATAGATTACATTCATGAATTGCATTGGTTCAAATAAACTTAAGTGATTTTGGCTTAAAATATTTACAGTATGTATAGATGAATTACAAAAAAACATATCTCAGTGGTCCATGCTGTGTTTATTTACACTGAAAGACAGTTTCAGTGTACTTTAATGTAAGGCATTTTCGCGCGAGGTTTTATAGGAAATGTGAGCATTTTCATTAAAAAGGCTGGGCTTTCTTTTCAGTAACTTAATCACGGTATTAATTTTAGTTGTTCCAGGCTGCTTTATTAGTCACTTGCAGATGTGTGATTTTAGGTCAAGCCTGTTGACTCAGATATCGGGGCATTTTCCAGTGGTGTCATTAGCCTCTTGCTTGAGTCATAGACCGAACCTGCAAAACACATTACTGGGGTAACTGGAAGTATGTGTATACACTGGGCACGGCGTAGGAGGGAGAATATGTGGGCACAGTAGCAAAAATAGCCACCGGTACCATTACATCATTACTATTATGATGAAGTTGTTGCAGTTATTCTACCTCAGACTTTGTCTGTGCGTCATGTTCTCCCTGTTTCTCACTGTCACCCCCTCAGGCCCCCACATGACGCGGTACTGGGTTCGACATCGGGCGGGGTATCCTTATAGTAAATGTGTTCTCTTCATATTCCCCTGGCTAAGGACTCATGGTCTTTTATACTCTTATGTTGACTGTGACTGCCATCGCCACCATCAGATACACACTTCGGTATTTACGTGTTTTTTTTCCCGTAAAGTATGGCTGTTTTGAGGTTTGTGGCCAAGGACCGCACACAGAATGATAGGGAGTGACGGGCGCTGTGGTGTTTATTATACGGCGTGTTATCACTGTCTTATCTCGTGTGCTGAGTGGTGGAGCCCTGAGCTCATTGGCATCTCCCCTCCTTGACAGTAAGGACTTTCCTTCAGACTTTCAGACTTCCCTTCCCACAAACACGTCACATTCGCACAGTGACTGTATCCCTCGCGGCTCTGATTGGCAGCTGGGATCCCGCAGGATGAGAAATGCGCCCCGGAGTCACCTGTCCATGTAGCGATATCTAAAGAAACGTCTGGCCGGTCCGAGAGAAACAGCGCCACCCACAGCCAGGCATGAGGAGATGACGGTGCAGAAATGAAGTTTAGCTTCAGGTGTGGCTTCAGTCTTCCAAACTTAACAAGAAAAATGCATTTGTAAAGTGCATTGTCGCAATAAAATATGCAGTTATGCTACTGCTGACTCTGAGAAAGGAGGCGGCGTTCAAGAGAAGGGCCTGGGAGTATTGCCTAGCTCTGAGCGTCTGTCCGTCGCACTTTTGGGAAACACCGTCACGAGTAGTGACACACAACAGAGACCACATGGACGGGTGCCACTTGCCGGACGGCACTGGACAAGACGAGATCCCGGTCAGTGTAGCTCACCAGCACCTCATTTCGAGTTTGTAGACCACTGTCGCTTCAGCCGGGCCGTATGGGTGTGGCTTCTGGCCTTCTGATTGGCCGGCCCACAGCGCGTATGAAGCTGGACGTCAGCTGCTCCGTGTTCATGGAAACGACGACGGCTTATCTGGAAGGCTACCTTTGTTTTTCTTTCAAAGATTACTGTAAGCCATGCCAGTATTCCCTTTATATGCATGTGATGAGTATTTAGATATTTGTATGTCACAGAGTTTCCCTTTTTCCTCACCGGGATGTGTAAATAAACTGGGAAACATAGATTGCTTAGTTCCTGACCCACCTTGTAAATGACAGACAGCTATGCATGCTGGTGATATAGCAAATCCTTTCAGGTACTTTTGTATCCCAGAATTCCCATTACAGCATGTGATTAAAAACAAAAAATAGAGAAAAGAGAATAAAAAAAAAAAATGCAGAAACGGTTTGTTGAACACCTTGAGACTGAATATTGTAGACGGCCATTTTGATAACATTTCTTTATGCAGTAGTGGGTCCTTCATCATTCTCACATTCATGATGTCAAATAGCGGTGATCCTACAGGACCGGGTGCAAACCGAAGACTCTCAGACATCTCTGCCAGGCGAATAAAGGCGCTCACCATCTTCTCCATCGCAGTGATATGGCACCCTTCCTCCCCCAGGAGTGAAGTGAGCCCCTAAAGCTGAATTCACTTCCGGAACAGTTAGAGTCTCCTGCTTTGCCCCCTTCTGACAGACCGTGGTCTTCCGAAAGTTTCCGAATCATAGAGGCAAAGTGGTAACAGGGAGTGTTTTATAGAAATCTTTATTTTCTGTCACATAAGACTCATATCATCCACAATAGATGGAAGTGTCTGATTTTTAATCTGTACTAAAGATATTTTAAATTTAATAAATAATCATTGAAACAAGGATGACTGTCTCCCTTCTGTCTTCTGTACTGAAATTTACCTGGTTTTATATTTTAATAAGGTTCATTAATGAGTCCATTGCATAATACTTCCTGCTTCATATGAAATGCACCTATGGAAATGCATAATGGAAGAAATATATTATAATTGTATACGCGGCCCGCATAACAGGAGCCTTTATAGCTATAATCATAAGTTGGCTACTTGTGTGTGGGCCACCGTGCAGCAAATACAACACCATCCATCCATCTGTACTTGTACCTATACTCCACTCCCAGAATTCCTCTGTCCACACCTCACTCCCGGCTTGCATTCACGCATGTCTGAGCAGCGGGGCTAAGTGGAGGGTGACAGACGCGTCCATAAAGCAGACCTCCTTCTTTGATTCTCTCAGGTGTGAGAAGGTCATTAGCCCTCTGGGCATTCACTCACAGGCGTCAGCGGACTGACAGGCCCTCCCTCAGTGCCTCCGCACAGACACTGCAGCAGTGGCGGTAGACAGTCTGGCCGACCGGCATTCAATGCGCCCAGTGAGCCGGTCAGAGGATTTCACTGATAAAACAACAGGCCACTTTGGGCAGAGATGTAAGCGCCCGGATGCTGGCAAAACGACGGTCTTTCAACCTGGGGGGGGGGGGGGGGGGGGGGGGGGGGGGGTGGGGGACTCTCATTGTTCGCTCTCGGGGGCAAACAGTGAAAATGCAGACTGTGTGAATACAGGAGCTGAGTTGGCTTACAGCAGCTAGGAGACAGGGGCCAGGAGATGGAGGCCAGCAGATGACCTGGAGATGGGGGCTAGGAGATAGAGAGCTGGAGATGTGGGCTAGGAGATAGAGAGCTGGAGATGTGGGCTAGGATACTCCCTAGGAAGGATACGTGTGGGTGTGTGTGGGGGGGTCCACAATAGAGACAGTGGATCACAAGAGGACAGAGGGCAGGGATTTGAGTGACACTCCCGCCTTTCCCTGAACATCGGCCCTTCACTGTACTGATCGCCCTCGTGTTGCCTGGTGCTCCACCCAGCTGATTCCCAACCTGTCGTCCCTGTCACCAGGAGATGCCGCAGAGCGAAATGTAGAAGATGAATATCCGCTTGGACAGGAATTGAACGAGCCCTTGTTAATTGGCGTCTCACTGCTCAGCCTGGCCCATCAGACAGAAGCACTCTGCCCTCCTACACGTGATAAATGCTGTTAAAATCGTGACTGAAGGTGGATCCTGGAAACGGAGATGGACACGCATCCCTGTCGAAGGCGAGAGGCGATACCAGGGGCTTAGATCAGGTCAAACAGAGGGGCATACAGGGGGGCAAACAGAGGGGCATAGGGGGGGCAAACAGAGGGGCATACGGAGGGGAAACAGAAGGGGCATATGGAGGGGCGTACAGAGGGGAGTACAGAAGGGAGTACAGAGGGGCGTACAGAAGGGAGTACAGCGGGGAGTACAGAGGGGAGTACAGAAGGGAGTACAGAGGGGCGTACAGAAGGGAGTACAGCGGGGAGTACAGAGAGGAGTACAGAAAGGAGTGCAGAGGGGCGTACAGAAGGGAGTACAGAGGAGAGTACAGCGGGGAGTACAGAAGGGTGTACAGAGGGGAATACAGAAGGGAGTACAGAGAGGCGTACAGAAGGGAGTACAGAGGGGCTTACAGAAGGGAGTACAGAGGGGAGTACAGAATGGAGTACAGAGGGGCGTACAGAAGGGCGTACAGAGGGGAGTACAGAAGGGAGTACAAAGAGGCGTACAGAGGGGCGTACAGAAGGGAGTACAGAGAGGCGTACAGAAGGCCGTACAGAGGGGAGTACAGAGAGGCGTACAGAAGGCCGTACAGAGGGGAGTACAGAAGGGAGTACAGAAGGGCGTACAGAGGGGCGTATAGAAGGGAGTACAGAAGGGAGTACAGAAGGGCGTACAGAGGGACGTACAGAGGGACGTACAGAAGGGAGTACAGAAGGGAGTACGGAGGGGAGTACAGAGGGGAGTACAGAAGGGAGTACAGAGGGGAGTACAGAGGGGCGTACAGAGGGGCATACAGAAGGGAGTACAGCGGGGAGTACAGAGGGGCGTACAGAAGGGAGTACAGAAGGGAGTACAGAGGGGCGTACAGAAGGGAGTACAGAAGGGAGTACAGAGGGGCGTACAGAAGGGAGTACAGAGGGGCGTACAGAGGGGAGTACAGAAGGGAGTATAGAGGGGCGTACAGAAGGGAGTACAGCGGGGAGTACAGAGGGGAGTACAGAGGGGCGTGCGGCAGGGCGTTTAGTGGGGGCATACATGAAGGCGTTTTATAGGGGCATACAGCTGGGTATACTGCAGGGCACACAGCAGGTAGATCCTTCATACTTATATGATCCCCAACACCTACTACAGTCATCAGACGTCATCAAGGACTCTGGCATTAATTAAATTAATCCATCTATTGTAGAGTTGGGTTTGGATGTTTTTGCTGGTGTCACACATTCAGTTAGTATGCTGCTAGGTGTAATCCATTCAGGAACTCGACAGAGGAGCTAACACGCCAGCTAAGGAGAGCCCCCCCCCCCCCCCCAGGGGCAGATATAGACCAGTTTGGCCGAGTCGTCACACCAGCACCTGCATTATCGTATCATATCTCCCTGGCATGAATAACCGTCTCGATTATCGCAATCTGTTATTGATCATCGTCTGAGAGGGCAAGGAGTGATTTATCAGTACAGGAGCATCTATTTTCTGACATCAGACAGCAAACGCTGAAAAATGCCTCAAACAGGCTCCCATGAGACTCTTTCACTACCTCAGCACCTGAGAACAAGGCCTCCATCACATCACGGGCATTTCCCTCTCAGAAGTGTTTCCTGATTCACAGGAACGGTTGGCACCAACAACTTGCGGCTTGCATGAAAAATCTCAAAACCTCGTTTTGTAGAAGCAGGAATCGGTGGATGACGATAAGCTTTCAGGAGAACCTCACTGAATCCTGACGGGGCAGGGAAAATCTCCTGGATGTCACCTGTCGAGCACAGGATGGGTGTGTGCATGCGTACTGATGCGCAGCAGTGTGTGTGTGCGCGTGTGTGTGTGCGTGACCATTATGGAATTCCTAGGGCTAACCAGAAGGGAGGGAGGGATGGAGAGGAAAAGCAACTGAGAGGAACTCAGAAGGACATGCGCAGCCACTGTGAAACTCATCTCCCTGTTTATCCTCTGAACGGACTTCCGAGGTGATGCGGGGAACGTAATTATTTTCACCTAATAAAAGCAACATATGCTAAGACAATAAAAGCTCTTATTGAACATCTACTCATTAAAACAGGCTGTAAAACAGAGGAGATCTCAGGGCACTGGAGATTTAAAGGAGCCACTCTGTATTTGTAAATTGCTGTGGCCTCCTCTTAAAGTGACAGCTGACAGGAGAGGGCCGATTAAGCGATCAGTATCCTCTTGCTGTGTAGTCGCCCCAGCAGACACAGCCAACGCCTGCAAACAGCAGAAGCTTCTAGAAGATAGTCCAGATAGAAACCTACCGAGCATCTCAGAGAGATTTACAACAAACAACATGGCTCTGAGTTTCGGCTGTTCTCTCAGAAAAGAAAGCATCTGTACCCATAATTTATTCAGCATCCACACAACACCAAAGATTCCTTTAAGCAATTCCTGGGAATCACTGGAGACATTTTGAACCACAATTGATAAATGAATGAATGAATGAATTAATTAATATGCGTGTCCTTGATAATGGTGAGGACACCCCCACCCAGCATACGGGGGGAGGGCGTGTCCCTGAGGAGGGTGAGGACACCCCCACCCAGCATACGGGGGGAGGGCGTGTCCCTGAGGAGGGTGAGGACACCCCCATCCAGCATACGGGGGGAGGGCGTGTCCCTGTGGAGGGTGAGGACACCCCCATCCAGCATATGGGGGGAGGGCGTGTCCCTGATGAGGGTGAGGACACCCCCATGCAGCACCCTCTGTTTTCTAGAGGCGTGTTAGTGTGAGGTAACAACCTTCAGTAATGGCGTGAGGTAACAACATGAAGTAAGGAGCAGTAGTAGCAGCCTGTAGTAACAGCCTGCAGTAACGGTGTGAGGTAACAGCGTGAGGTAATGGGATGCAGAAATGGCATGAGGTGATGGCGTGAGGTAATGACCAGTAGTAGCAGTCAGTAGTAATGGCCTGCAGTAATGGTGTGAGGTAATAGCATGCAGTAGCGACCTTGTAGTAACGGTGCATGGTAATAGCACTTGATCAGAGTCATAATAAAACCATATGGTCAAAACACAGTAATGATGCATGAGTAACGGCACCCAAAGCTGTTATATGCAGAGCTGTGGTAGTGGTACGTGGTCACTACTATAGCCAGAATCGCTCCCTTCCTGCCAGAAATGCCTCACTTTTACCACAGATGAATGCAGAGTGAAACCCCTCTCAGGGAAAGTCTCAGCTAAACCCGTCCCCTTTAACTCGTCCAACAGGAGCAATCTGTACACACCAATGATACACATGCACATGCACATGCACATGCACTGCATACATGAACATCTCATTTCCACGCTGCAGCTTTTGCCGTGATTCCGGGACACAGGGAGCTCATTGCAAAATAACAGTCAGCTGGATACGATCATTCCATGACCGCTTGATCCGATTCAAGGAAAATGGCAACTTTTTTATAGAATAAAACTCCATGTGGTGGGGGTGCAAGAGAATGTTTGAGCAGCGATAGGGCCTAGATTCTATCTGCACCCCCCTCAATGCTCCATACTGCCCCCTGGCTAGTGCCACGCCCAGTGCACATGACCGAGGTCGCAGGAAGGAGTTCACTGTCCACATTCATTTCCTCACACTGCTTTTTTATGTCTGCAGATGGGCTCACAAACATCTCCTACCAGCACAAATAACAGGCTGCTGCACCTCCCAAGGTGAAGCTGATTTACTGCCTTTACGAACCATAAAGTCCAGCCCCCCCAGGTGTGTTTAAGACTCGCCGTGTGTCTGTGTTGTGACTGAGAAACCACATCCTGGGCT